TGGAGCCGCACGGAACTGGACATCCAAGATGGCATCCTTATTCATCCGGCCATTGTTGCTGACTGTCCACTGTGGTGTAGATGGAATTATGGACCAGAATTCCTCATGCGTCCTACCCCCACCTGGAGATAGTTGAGCACTTGAAGTTGCTGAGGCTCCTGAGCAGGCTAGGAGACTGGATGGGTTCCTGACAATATTCCTCCTCCTGTCTATTCGTATGGAGCCCCCCTTGTCCTGCCTGTGAGTGGAGGTGACACCTCTGCCCACAGGCTGTTGAGAGGAGGACCTGGGACCAGCTGTGACATGAAAGCACTCAGCTGGGGGCTACAGTTGAGTGCATCTCCGAGGAGGGGAGGCTTTTGCCAGCCCCGTCAGATCCTGATTCCACTCAAGGGAGGGAGCTTGCTTTTTTGTCCATGGCTTTGACAGATTGGCTGATGTTTCTTCCTTCCCCTCCCTTCTCTCCTCCTCCTCGCTCCTTCATAAGCATTTATTAAGCAATGGACGATCCTCCACTTTGGTAGAGCTGTAGAACTTCTAGGCTCTGCCCAAGTTTGGGGAAGTGACAAGCATGGTGCAGGCTGAGCCAGTGCTGGAGTCCATGTTGACGTGGGAGTCGGAGCTCAAGGCCTGTGAGAGAGCTGCCCTCATGGCCCGTCCCTGCCCCTCAGGCCCAGGGAAGCCCAAGTCAGGAAGGATCGTGGAAACCACTGATCCTGCACCAGGAGCGAATTCTTCACAGATCTCTGCCCCTCCGTGTCCTCACACATGCAACGCTGGTGCCGTCTGCTCCAGGAGGATCGAGGACTCTTGCTGCCCTGTTTCCCTAGCACTGGGCTCTGCTCTCCCTGCACCCAGCTATTGCCACATGATTGCACAGACCACAGGCAGAGGGGGAGCTGCCCATTTCTTTATGCCCTGTATGGAAGGTGAACCAAGAGAAGGCCACGTCCCGGAGATGAGTCCTTCAAGATCCTCCAGACTTCAGGAGGCCATAGGGTATGTTGGTGGCTAATATCAATAGAAAGTTGTTTTTTTGTATAAAATAGTCTCTGCCCCACCCTCTTCTGTCACCAGCATATGAAGTAGAGGAAGCTTTCTGGATGTTTGCTGTGGACTCCAGGGGAGCTCTGGCGCCATTCTGGGCAGGCAGCAAAAAGACAGTTGTAAGATGCTCACTGAGCCTGGTCTGCCGCTTTCACCCTACTGCTGCCCTGGAGCCTGGCCTCATGCTCCGAAGAGGCTCGCAAGGTCACCGGTTCTTCTAAGCAGCCTCGTGGGCACTTGGGTAGACACACAAACATCTGGCTTGCTACTCCCAGTAAGACCACAGCATTAGCAGAAAAATGTCTAAATCAAAAAGACTTGGCCCCAGACCCATGCACTGGCCATCTAAGATTCTCCAAAAACCAGCAGCCTGGAGGGGAAACTGATCTGGACCTTGTGTTGATCCATTTGGAAAAGCTGTTTGTTGCTTGTAATTGTAAAGTGATGTCTGTCCATAAGATGGCCGCCCTGTCTGTCTCTTCCTTCCATCCCTTTGGTTGCCCTTTGTTTCTGCTTTGTGGGACGCCTACGCTCAGGTGCTTGGGAATTAGGCCCCTGGGGACAAGCTCTGTTCCCTTTGTGTTTGGGCTGTGGCTGTGTTTAAAGGAGGTGGTGTTTGTGCATCATGAGGGAACCGGTGTCCCCAGAGCCTGTGAGTCCCTCCTCCAGTCTGATCCTTAATCCACACACCATGCCCAGAAGAGCCTGCCTAGCCCCAGGTGCAAGGGAAGATTCAGAAGTTCCATGGCCGAGCGCTACCTACAGTCCTGCTGAGGAGCAGATGCGCGCCCCTCCCACTGGACTCCATGTGGGTGCACAAGGAAGAGAGGAGGGTGGTGTCTGGAAGGCCACGTGGGTGCAGAACCCTGGCTCCATCCTTTTCCTTCCCTGATCAGTGAACGCGAAGGCAAAGCCCCTTCCATCTGGCCTTCTGCATCTTGGTGATATGCCTGGGGTGGGAAAGAGATGCAGAAACCACATGACGCACACTGAGCTTGCTCCAGGACGTGTTTCTGCCTGTGGCCACTCAACTAACATGTCCTTGATGTAGAAAATGCTGAAAAGTTCCAAATCTAAATCACAGACTCGTCTCTCAGAGGCAGCTGGCTTCTTTCCTAGATGTGGCCCCTGTCATCTGGCATCTCTCTCAGATACAGCCACTGTCGTCACCTGGCTTCTTAGATAAAGCCACCATTGTCACCTGGCTCCTTCTCAGAGGCCACCACTGTGTCATCTGGCTGCATCTCACCCCAACCCTGCCGACGCCAAGTGAGCTGGGGATCACACTGGGCATTTGCAGTCTCTAGCTGCTTGTTATTAAACAGAGACTAGAGTTTTTTATCTCTTTCATGAAACATTTATCAAAAGCACTCTTTTGGGGGAAGCTAATACATTTGTATTAAATTTCTTTAACTTCCTTCACAACTCACATGCCATCAGAGTATTTGCGAGTAGCCTCATTCCCAGTGCTGTGCTCCCAGGCCCTGCCCCTGGACACCCCTTTCTTTGGTCTCTTGGATTCACGTCTTCAGCTTTTTGATGCAGAAACAAGTTCAGTGGGATCGTCTCACTTCCCCACGTCTGCCCCCGAGGCAGCATTCTGGCCCTAATCTGCACCCTGCTTTTGCTTCCCCTACTGATCTATCTAAGATGTCTTTTCATAATAACACAGAGAAAGCTAGTGCATTCTTCAGAAGCATGATTACATTTTTTAAAGTAATTTAAGCCATACTTTTTTTTTTAATCTTACGGAAAGAGGAAATGAAAAATGGGCCTTTTTCCTCCCAATCTCACCCCTAATCTGTTATTGGTAGTAGCCATTTTTCCTATTTATTACATATTTTTCCAGAATTACTTTTAGGTCTGTAGCCTCAGGAATGTATTTGTGTGCAATGTGTCTGCACGCACATATACACGTGTATGCAAAGCCTATTTGAAATTTCTTCAACCTGGCCATCTCATGTGGACATCATAATTTCTTGAATCACTTCACTTCTCTGCAGTTGGATCTTTAGGTTGTAACCTTTTTCTTTAAGTTCTTTAAGCAGTGTAAAGAGGGATGATCTTTGACATAAATTTTGGTGGTGTCTTTGGGTTTCTTATAGATGAATTTTGTTGGTGGGTTCCTGGGTCACAGGACATGGATATTTTATTGGATCTTGGTACATGCAGCCTCATGCTTCCTAATATTCCATCTCTTTGCAGTCACCTGTAAGAAAGTGGTGGTCACTGCAGTAGTGGGGTGGCACCAATGCCCAGCCCAGCAGATCCCTGGACCCCTGGGGTATGACTGTAGGAAACTGGGGCTCTGACCAGAAGCAAGGCAGGAGTCTCCTGGCTGCTTTGCAGGAGTCCGTTCGCAGTGCCATCACAGGGACATCTGCCTGCAGCCCAAGCTGGTGGCTCAGCACAGATGTCTGTGGAGGGCTCAACCTGGTGGCTCTCCCTGTGGCTGCCATGTACAGGGGGAAGGCCCCCTTGAGCTAGCCAGCCAGGTTCTGTGTCTGAACACACTGCCGAAGGGTAAAGAACACGCCACCCTGCCTTCTCAGGTGCTGCTATCAGAGCTCCGAGATACGAGATCTTTCTCCCGGCAGGCTCTACTCTGGGTATCTTACACATAACAGCTCACTCTATCCTCAGGACAACCCCATGTCACTGTTACACCCACCTCACAGTTGAGAAAAGAGCAACACAGAGAAGTGATTTGCTCTTAGCCACACAGGAAGAAGGGGTCTGACCCTGGTCCCAGGCTCCATAGCCACTGCACTCCCACCCTCAAAGCCAGAACCTAGCTCTTCAGGAAGAGCTGCTTCACGTCCAGCCTTCCACACAGGCCGAGGGGCTTCAAGCCTTGCCTTTGAGCTGGTTTTCCTCTTTGCTGAGGATTCCCGACAGAGGAAACTTAGAAGTCTTAAAGGCCTGGGTTCCTGTCTGCTTCCTGATATGATCTTGGGCAAGTTACGCATCCTTTCTTGCCTCCTCCGAAAAGTTGGGGGATAACACCCATCCCTGGGGTTGTTATGGAATTGGCAAGATTGTGGGTAAACTAAAGTCCTGAAAAGTGAAGGTATGAGTTCAAGGGTCTCTCTTTTCCCCTCACTACCTTATGTTCTTCCCCTTTCCATTGGGTTCCCCTTAGCCTTGGCCCACATCTTAGAGCCCTAGCGGATTCAGTTTCTCAAGGAAGCAACTTTCCTGGGTTTTGGAATAACATCGCTGTTGATGGAGCATCTACCTGTGCTGAGCATTTTGCAACCTGCTTTATAGAACAATTGTGAATCCTGGGACAGTCCTGAGGATTGGTTTCCCTGGGACAGAATCAAGGCTGGAAGGGTGGGGCTCACTCGGGATCCCACAGGCTGTTGAGTGCCTCCTGGACCCTTGTCTCCATCAGCATCCCTGGGCAGCCCTGGTGGGGACCATTGTACCTTGAAGCCTGGTTTCTCTTACCCCATCACTTCCTCACAAGGCCCCTCTGAGTGAGGAGAAGCCAGGTGCTGCCTGAACTTCTCATACATTGTGGGGAAAGGTCAGGGCCGTTTCAGGGTAGACATTGGCCTTTGGTGTTCGAGTGTCTGTGTGATGCCCATCATGGTGACAATGGATATTTTCCCCATCACCATCTGATATCTTGCATCTCAGATCCTAATTAGCCCTTTATAGCTCCAAAATTACACGCTTTTACATGCCTGTGATTATCTCAATAAGATTAGCCGTCCTTTTCCTGTAAAGATAATTGAGATGGCTCATGGTGGCATATTTTATTACTGCAACATTATCTCCAGCCATCCCTGCACAAAATCTCTCACTATTTTCTAGTAACTGCTTCTTCACCTCATTCTGAACAGGAAATGTTTGGGGATCATTGCGAGGCAGAAATTGTCCATGATTATGCAAACCATGGTAACCGTATGCATTTTCTCTCTTCCTCTCTCCTCCCCTGGTGGCAGGTGCCCGGAGATTTGAGTCAAACATCCGAAGATCAGAGTTTGTCGGATTTTGAAATGTAAGTCCATGGCATGTGCTCACGAGGGGTACTTTAGAGACAGGACTCTGTTGCTGGCTCAGGTCCCAGAAGACCCCCTGGGGAAACAGAAATCACCATTAAGCCCACATCAGGTTGATTCGGTTGTCATGGAGGGTGCTTCTCTGGCAGCCCGGGCCTTCTGGTGTGTTTTATCTTCCCCTTGGGTTTTTGAAAATCTTTTTCCCTGGCTGACATTTCAGATTTGGAAGGTGTCACATAAAATTTTGAATTTTAAAAATTTCATTTGAAAGTTAGAGTCCCGTGCTTGTGGCCACAGTCCCCCGGGCAGGGAGCAGCTGTCCCCTTCACACAGGGCAGTGCGCTGGGCCTGCCGTACCCCTGGCTCTCTGTCGGTTCACCCAGCAGCCCCTTGTAGGTATTGGTATCTGCATCTCCTGGGTCATGAGCCTCCCGTGATCTGTGCACAGCTCTGATTCCATTTGCCTCTTGATACCCTAGAGAAACCATTGGTCTTGAGATGATTTCTATTCAGGTTTCCTTGGGTTTGGGACGTGGTCTGAGTCCTGGGTTAAGGGCCAGGCAGAATCTTCTTCCCTGTCCTTCAGATGTGGCCTGTTGAGGAAGGTTCAACCTCCCCTCACTCAAGCCCAGGAGGTGGAGGCCAGCCTGGGCAGCATAGCAGGACTCTGTCTCCAAACAAAAAGACAAGGAAAATAGAAAATGTAGCCTTCTTCTCAGAAAGGGTCAAACAGGAAAAGTTACTTCTGAAGGGGGAGCGCAGGGCAGGGCATCAGAAAGAACATTTTTCGGAGCCAGGCGACCTGCTTTGAAACCTCAGTCCCTGAACCTCTCTGGGACTTGAGGTGAAGCTCCTGATACCATCCTTGCAGGGTTCTGGTAGCCATTTGAATGAGATTATAGAAAATCCAGGGCACCAAGGGGTCCCTTATTGCTGGGGGGCCACCATGGGAGGGGGATAATATCTGGGTGGGCAGGGAGAGGAGGTGAAGGATGGAAGTCCAGGGTGAGTTGCTTCCCATTGGCCTGTGGGTGGCAGTCAGCAGGAAGAGGCTACTAGAATGGCCACTGGAGGAGACACCTATGGTGGGAGAAACTGGGAGGAGCGGAAGGTGGGAGGGCGTTCCCAGAGATGGGGAGGGCCTGGGGAACTACTCTACCGAACACTTGCTGTGGGCAAAAGTCCTTCATGTGTCCCCTAAAGAAGGCCCTCGCGGACCTCTGACTCCATCTCCAGCCCTGCCCTCTCCCCTCCCTGCACACCAGACGCTGCCCAGTTCCTCTCCGGTAGCCACCCGTCTCCCCACCACCAGGACTGCCGTCCTCTTCACTTAGCCCACGCATGCCAGCGTTTCCTCTGTCCAGGCGCTCTCTAACTGTCCCACCACACCTCTCAGGGGGGTGTCGTCTCACAGATGACAGGCTTGAGCTGGGGTTCAAACTCTCCTGATCCAGTCTTCGCAGACGTTAACTCCCCTGCCAGAAGCAGCCTTCCAGCTGCAACCTCTCCTCAGCTTGCCAGACTCTGTCCCCATAGCCTGGCCCAGACGGTAGCACACCCCCTGGCATTTACTCTCCTTAGATCTAGTAGCACTTGGTGACACACCAATGCTAATTAAATAATTTCTATGTAACAACATTAAGCACGTATGCACCTAACATCAGAGCCCCAAAACATTTGATGTAAAAATAGAAATGAAGGCAGTAACGGGTACTTCTATTATAAGAGTTGGAGACTTCAGGACCCCACTTTTACTGATAGATAAGACAACCAGACAGGAGGTCAGTGAGGAAACAGAACACTTGGACAACACTGTGGTGAGCTACAGCCGTGGCCACGGCCGTGTATTTGAATATCAATCTTGCTTCATTAGACCCACAGACACAGTGTTTTTGGAAAAGTCGAAAGAGTACTTGTGCCTGGCATCCTGGTTTTGTCACTTGTTACTTTCTGGTATCCTTCCCACCTCCTGCCCCAAACAGCTGTCACTCAGAGCCATGGTGTTGGTCTCCTGAGCTCTTTTGTGGAGTCTCACATGAAATGGGGGTGAGAGTTTGATGTCAGTGCAGTGAAAAGACAGTGTGGCTCCACAGGGTGCTCTAAAGCTGTTGGTGTCCTTCTGCATGGCTTCCTGTATATCCCTGTTGCTGTCCCCAAGGAGAGGTGGAGCCTGAGCATCAGACACATCCTAGGCCCAAGGCATCTTCTGAAGGCCAAGGTCCCTCAGCAGGCAGGAATGGAAGGGCAGCTCGTTCTCATTTCAAAAACTAAGCTGCATGTGTAAACTTACAACATGTAACAAGTTATATAAATTTATATGGTTGTATATATTGAAAACAGTCCTGGGAGATGAGGGGTGGGACTTGAACTGGTCCCTAGGTTCACTGTCAAGCAATACATGTTGTATGAATTTTTTGTGCAGAATTTTAGAGGAGAAAATTGTTTCCTGTGCTGGTTTCTGTATAGTTGTTGGTTTCTGTAAGTGACAGTGGCCACTTGTTGGCTTCTGTAAGTGACAGTGTGATCTCTCTTGGTCAGATCTAACCGGGCGCTGATCAACGTCTGGATCCCGTCGGTGTTCCTCCGTGGCAAGGCAGCGAATGCATTCCACGTGTATCAGGTGAGCTCGGGGTTCTAACGCCAGCCCTGTTTGTTAACCAGGTGCTGAGCCCCCTTGGGGCTGGGGTGCTGTAGTAGGAAGGAGGCCACAGCCCTCCAGCTGCCCTGAGGAGGTGTGTGTGGCCCTTTGTCTGTGAGGAGGAGTGGGGGAGAGCCTAGTGCCAGTTGAGTCTCCCAGGGTGATAGCTGCTGAACTGAGCTCAGGCTGCTTGAGCAGACGTGGGGATCTGTTGGCTGGTGTGGTGGTGACAAGTCCTGGGCTAGGTTGGGCCTCAGGCATGCTTGGCCTGGGGTCAGGAGCCTGCTGCTGCCTCCTCTTCCTGCTGCGCAGCCAGCATGGCTGGGTCTCTGCGGCTGATGGGAGTTCCCAGCAGCCCCAGGCTTTGGCGGGGTCCTGGGCCTCAGCTCCCTGGTCTGTCTGGGATCTCAGGTCCATTCCTGAACCTTGGGGTTGGGTGGTAGACTTTCCTGGCTGGCCCAGTTTTGCTCGTGTACTGTGGCTGATGCTGGGACTGACCTTGACCTCATGTCTGAGAAAGGGGAGAGGTGGTGGCCCAGAGGAAAACCAGGCCACTGTCTTCAACAGAAGGGGCAAGGGGGACTTGACAAACTCAGACTGTGGACATCTCTGCTTCCCTGCAGTAGAGGTGGCCTCTCCAGGAGATGCTTGGGTTTCTAGGTCTGCAGACCCTTGTCTGCTTTGGCGGTGACTTTGCAGTCAGGAGGACCCCGTTTTCCTCCTTGCTCTGATTTCCCGATGCCCCTCTGAGCCCTGTCTACTTCCAGACTTTTTTCKTACCCTGAGCCCTGACAATAGCTTCTCGTGTCTGCTGATTCCGAACAGCTTGTTTCAGCGCCGCTCTTGAGCCGCTTCCTGCTTCCGCTCCCCTCTTAAATCAGTGATTTCATGAAGTGAAGTTCTGACTCCCCTGAGCTCTGTGGAAACCTGGGTGGGGTTGCCATTTTTCTTAGCAGGGATTGACCTCTCTCCAGGGAAGCAGGATGGTGAAAAGGGACCCTGAAGTTGCAAATAGGAGCCCTGGCTTAAGTCCTGTGACCTTAGGTAAATCTTGTTTGTCTTCTAAGTGGAAGTGGCAGCACTTATCTTGTGAAACTGCTGTGAGATTAGGAAGAGGTGCTTCATTTCCTGCCTTCTCAGACGATTGCCCTGTTTGGTCTCAGATATAAGCATGACTTGTGCATATTAGAATCTCAGAGACAATGAACTGGAGTCTGGCACAAGAAAGTCATTTTAGTTTACACATTCAGCTGGGCGACGGTACACTTTTCATATGTACTGGGAGAGTCTGAGTGTTAATGACATGCTCTCGGCTCTGGTTTAAAAAGAGAACCAGATATGACAGACTTGCAAATATCCTCTTCTTATCCCAAAGCAAAAGAAACAAAAACAAAATAAAAAATCCACCCAAAGTGGGTCATTTGAGTGACCTTCAAGTTCTGCTTTGCAGTCATTGCAATGCTGGGAGGTGTTGCCTGGTGAAGGAGGCAGTTTTATCTTAGAGCAAAATTAAAATGTGCTATCACTTGAGAGGTTTCCTTGACCTTTCATACCCCCCCCCCCCCCCCCGTCCCCATCCCATGAAGTGATCTAGAGATTTTAGCTTCTAAAAGTCAGCTAGGAAGTGAGATGGGCACAGCAAATCTGCTGTTGCCTGGGAGACTGTTCCCACAGTGGCCACAGTGGCCTTAAAGCCACTCTCTCCCCCCTTCACTGTTTCCAGAGCTCTCCAGGGCATGGCTCAGCCAGCACACCAGGCTTCGGCCCAGATTTCGGCAGCTCCCTCATCACCCAGAGCAGCTTAAGCCCACGCCCCCGGCTCAGGGAGCCTGTCCTGAGGCTGGAGCAGGCCCAACAGCACCTCTTGCACACATTGTTCTCTTTTTAGCTAACGATGTCTGCTTGGTGCCTCAGGAGCAAAATCGGAGCATGTTTGGAAGCATTTCAGATGATTTTGCACAGCGTTTTTTATATAACTGATACTAGCTAGCAGAGGACTCCTTTAAATCCTGGCACCATTGGAAATTATTTGTTTTAGGATTTAAAAAATGCATGCCATTTAATTTCAAAAGATTTGAGATAATTTCTAGAAAAACATACATAAAAGGATGAAAAAAAGAGAAGGAACAAATATCTAAGAGAGCTTAGAAGGCAAGTGGAAAGTCTACTTATCACGGGATCCAACACGGTGGTTCTTATGGAATTTTAAATTTCCTGAGAGCTTCCTGGCAGCCTGTATGAAAAATGGAAACATGGATGTTTGGATAACTCCAGTGCTGGTGATAAATGTTAGTTCCTCAGAAAGAGCGCTAAAAGCAATGTCTACCTAGGACTTTTTATTAAGCAATAATAAAAAAAATTGGTAAATAAACCTGTTACATTTCCATGACAAATCACTGCCTAATCTCACAAGACCTCTCTGGAAGGAGATTAAGGGCTTAGCCCCCAACTGGACGTGGATGGCGTGGAGAGCCTGGCTGTACAGCTTCCTCAGGGGACCGTCACTGGCCATGTGTGAGTGTTGAGGTCTAAATTAACTAAAGCAGACTGAATCGAGGCATTCGATTCCTTGGTCACACAAACCATGTTTCAGACATTTAATACATGAGTGTGCTGGACAGTGAGACCTAGAACATGGCGCCTGCACAGAAGGTTCTGGGGGCCCTCAGACCTGCAGGGGGAGGCTCTTCCCCCCCAGCAGCACTGCAGCATCCATGTGCCTGCAGGAGACGGGCTCTGCTTTGCGCCCTGACTCTTTCATCTTAGGGTCCCCAGGCAGGCTGGGGGTCAGTGTTTGTGGCCAGAGTAGGCTTGAGTTTACGTTGCTTGGCTTTTGTTGTATTTATTTTTATATTTGCCTTCTGGTTATGACACAAGTCTGTTTTCCCATTTGCCATGGTGATGTTCTTTTTAAAATAAATTTTAGGTAGAAAGGAAATGAGTCAGCTTAAAGAAAAATACTAAATAAACAATAGTGAAAACAGCAAAAAACCGAGACAGGAAAGAATAACTAGAATGTGATTAAAGACTAATAATAAAAATAATAGCTGCAAGTCGTAGCCACCTCTGCTGCTTCATGTATGTGTTGTAAAATGGCGCTCATTCAGTCCCCAGCAACCCTGCAAGGTGAGAAGCTCTCATTATCCCCATCTCACGGATAAGGGAAACAAAGGCACAGAGAAGTGTCTTGTCCAGTGGTCTTTTTGATTTTTAGTCCAAATAGCAATTTCTGACTGGTCGGCAGAGCTTATGAGTTACTGCCTGAGGGATAGATCAAGCTTTTTAAAAATCTTAGAAACAGCCGGGCACGGCAGCAAATGGCTATAGTCCTAGAAGCTTGGGAGGCAGAGGCAGGATAATCACGAGTTCAAAGCCAGTCTCAGTAACTTTATTGAGAGGCCTTGAGCAACTTAGTTGAGACCCTTTATCAACATAAAATAATAAAACTGGCTGGGATGTGGCTCACTTGCAAAGCACCCCTGAGTTCAATCCCCAGTACAAAAAAATAAAAATCTAGAAACAGCTGAGACAGTGGCCCTCATTCTAAACAGAAGGTGGAGGGCACACCTGCAGCCACACCTGGACCTTTCTGTGGGACCACTGTGTCTGCGGTGCACGGACACATCCATTCAACCCTCTGAGTCCCAGAGCCAGGCCGAGGCAGTTTGCTCTAGAAAGGTATCCAAGCAGGGATGGTCCTCCATGAAGACTTTGGCCATAGATGTTCTCAGGGACGCTCCCTCAGGATCTCACTTGAGCCACGTCAGGTCCTGGAAGCCCGCCTGGAGGGATGGCTTAGAAACTGTACTCCTAAACACACAGGAAACGGGGTGCTCACCCTCAGCCTGGGGTTGCTGAGCTCTCACAGCCCGTGTTGTGGAAGAGCCCTGGAGATACGTTCAGTAGGAAGGGTCCTGGCAAGGAGCGTAGAGTGCTGCCTGGGGCAAGTGTGACTCCGTAAGAAAGGCTTGCGCTCTGTGTCCTCGGGGACAMCTTGTGTGCCAGCCCCACTAGAAGTGAGCAGTGGCAGCACTTCACCAAATTTCAGAACAAAAGTAGCATTGATAGTGGGCGTTGCCAGTTCTGAGTTGTCGCCCATTTCTTCTGCGCTGGGACAGCTAGTGTTTGGCTGCTAGCAGGCCAGAGCCCGAGTTAGAAGGGGGAGCAGCAACCAGTGAAATGGAAAAGAAAGCAAAACGCAGCCTACCAGCAGTCTTGCTCAGGCTTGCTCCTCCTCTCTCTCTGAATACACAGAAATGGCTTGCTTTTCTGTCACTTCTAAGTGACAGTTAAATTTGCAATTAATAAATTTCTAGCTTATATCTTTACAAATATTTGCTCTTATTTTCCGAATACCCTGACTTCCAAGCAAGTTTGAGGTCTATGTTAATATCCAACTGAAGTGTTTGTAAAGGCATCTTGGACTTTCCAACAGCCCCCCTATTTATTTCTTCAGCAAATATTACAGCCACTGAATTGGTGTGGAGTGATACCTCAGTACACTCATTCCCTGGGCCCTCGGGTCTTCCCTCTGAAAAGTATGGTTAGCATAAGTGCAGCTGGAGTTCGTCTTCTGTGTGGAATTAATTTCAGCCTTTGTATTTAGCTGCCAGAAATACTGGCCTTGGTCAGTGTGGTGCAGAAAGATCTGTTACCTTTCCTATTAATAATGGACCACAGCCTTGGTGGGCTGTGCAGGGCGCCTGTGGTTCAGAGGATGGTCATGTCCTTGGACTTCAGGCTTTGGTTTTCTCCAGTCCTCTTTCCATCCTCCTCCACTTTCACCCAAGCCTCTTTCTGTGTGTCTGGTGTGGAGCTCCACAGAGAGATGGGATTCCTCGCTCACAGAAAGATGAAACACTTGGGTCACATGTAGAAACTGCAGCCGCAGCTGCACTACTGCGGGCTGTGAGAAGCCTCTGGCTCGGCAGGTACCAGCCGAGATCTGGGGGGGAAGGACCAGTTCTAAGGCTGCGGCAGCT